GATTTTCCAACCATGCTTCTCCAGGTAATGAGACACGCTACTTATCACGTCTAAAAGAAAGTAACTTAATTTATGTGTCCTTATAATCTAAATCTGGAAAAAAAGCGTAATCCGTCCGTCGAGGAAGAATCTACTACGAATGTTTTCTTTCTGCTGATTTTTCACGCCTTTCTATCCTATTATAAATTCATAATAAAAAAGGGGGTTGTCGACTGAAGTTCTTGACCTGGGAAGATACTAAAGTTATCAGTAATTCTGAATTTCACCTAGGGACTTATTTATATACAGTGTGCAAATACTGATAATATATATACTTGATAAACGCTTTCTAAAACTGAAGTGGTTTAAAATGAGGTCTCGATTTGAATCTGAATGTTCCATATAGATATGTAAGCAGAAAGCTCGTCTATTATTTTTAGATTGTGCAATATCGCAAATAACCAATATATTATAAAATGAAGAAACTACAGTGATATTAGAATGGCTGATGACTTAGTTTTAGGATAGTTATTTGCCGAAGTCAAGTTAGCGCAATATTACTACAAAGCAAAAACGTTCAAACTAATAGGAATGTTTCACATTATAAGATATGCTAATCAATGCAAGTCGTTAATATTCTAAGGAAACGTAGAACACAGAAAATCCTATGACATGTTCAAAGTATTAGCAATTATAGAAAAGTCAAGAAAGACTCATAATTCAATGGTCTACTAAATCTTTCTTGACAAAGAATAGATAGGTTAATAATTTTAACTGTCGGTAGAATGAGTATTTGAGTTCTCGATATTTCTTAATAACACGTTCTGTAAATCTCCAATATAGGTTTGTGAAGATTGTTAAATTTCATCGGAATCATGAACCAATTAAGTTAGACAACCATTGAAATCCTGGAGTCTCGTATTAGGACGAAACAGCAGTCTAGAGCTTCCGGTTTTTCTGTGATAGTCTTACTTTCATTGGTTCATGATTTCACCGAAATTCAACACTGTCCACAAACGTATACCAACAACCATCATGTACTCACTAGTGACTAGCTTCGAGAGGGAATCTCCGGACTACTAGTTAGAAGCGGTGACCAGTGGAGATAAACCATGTGGGGTGTGAAGTAGTTATTCACCGAAGACAATGGAAGATGTTCGCACACTATCATGGAATGACTGAAGTTAGACTTGTACACCGTTGGATAAAAGGTCAGTAGGTCAGGAGCCAAGTGTTCACACACGAGACCGAAGATCCTGGGTTTGATTCCCGCTTGTGGGTTCGTGGGTGGGCACTGCTGAGGCGTCCCACGCTGAGACAAAACGGGTGTTCAGTGCTTCCAGGTTTTCAATGGTTGTCTAACTTTGATCGATTCATGATTTCAATGATGTACTGCAAAACTAATTGCGTCAATTACAATGAGACGCCAACATCAACTCTTAATCCAGTAACCTTTGGACGTTTTTGAGCTTTAGATTATTTGGCAAAACTGCTGAATATATATTGCTGAGCATAAAGTTGAAGCGTTTTATTCCGTCGACTATTTCTGAAAGAAAATAAATTTTGTAAACAATGTGATAAAATACTATTTTACTCTACTTCTGAAATACGATATCGATTCATAACCCGCTTACTTGTCACCATGAATTTGTAGTGGCTTAGCTTCGTTAATCGATCACCTCGATAACCGTTATTATATATATCCTAACGGTATTTGAAATCAGAAGCGGCGACTACAGTTTATAAGCGGATAGCACGGATAACATAGATACAAACATATCGAGCGAATTTGAAGCAGATAGGAGAATGTGTGTATGCGAGCTAGTACAGAGGAAAATTTATGGTCAAATCGAATCAAGGTGCAGCTAGGCGATGCAAAGGGTAATAATAGGATTCGAGTACATATATACATGGGAAAAAGAATGACTCACCGAGTGTTATTTAAGAGATTAACATTCATGTTAGAGATATGTGCGTAGGCTGTCACATTTGATCGTGATAGTACAAAGAAATGGACAAATTGTTACTCTTCAAACAACATTGTGTGCTGAATAAATTAATAAAAGGGCTTAACAAAACAAACCACAATCGGAATTGATTGTATGAGAGTTGCTATAAATTTGTTGCGAGCTTGCTTCACAGTGTTTAATATATGTGCAAAATTTAGCTCTTCCATTCATTTAGTGAACTATTGCTGCATATAAGAGCATAATATTCACTGATTTCAAGCTTCAACTTTATTTGCTTTTTCCGTGCGGCAGTTTGAGATGCGCTACAGTGCCATGCTTATAGAAGATACAGGCCGACACATTTAGATGATTAAAATGAAGTCCTCGGTGAAAATTACACTCCTATATCCAGTGCTGACACACTAAATGAATGTTAGGATCTTCGAGAATTCTGGATTATGGACTTCTATTTAAAATTAAAAAAGAATGGTTATCCTTACACTATAGGACTCTACTCGTATATAATTAATTGAATTATTAATAACCACGGTAGATTGTGGGTGCACTATAAGAATGAACATCAGCACATCGAAAAGAATAAGCAGTAGGATACTGAAATAAAGATTCAGTTACAGTGTTAGCATTGTCCGAGATTTCTTTATGTGGTTATTGATTATTTTTCATGAATGAAAACATTGGTCGATGCGAATTTGACGTAGTACATAAATAAACAGGAAATATCAAATAAGTAGATACACAAATAAATCACATGAAAATTGCGCATGACTTTATTTTGTGTAAGGATATTGGTGGTTATGATTTCGGTAGTTACGTAATTAATTGAAGTGACAACAAACGCAAAATCTAGGTCCGGGATTTCCAATTGGTCGTTCGCAACGATCAGATAAAAAAACTGCGATACAATCATTTGTATTAGTGGCCATATTACAAAATTTGACCAATAGAACCAAATTAACATTGAAGACCACTAGGCCACCTGTTGCTAACAACTAAGACGTTTTAGTTACTTTCCATAGATGGTAGTTTGTATACTGTTAGGTTGAATAACCATAAGCTTAATTGTTGCTTAGAAATGTGATGTAAGAACATTTATAGTACTTATGATTTCGTGCACTAGAACTAAGCATGTGAAGCTAAGTGAAATGGATTCCCTTTATTTCAATAATGAATTATCTATTCTAATTAAGGTATATATCTACTTCATAGACTAAATGAGAGAATTAAGTATACAATAAATGTAACAGCTAAATGCAAGAGTTAACCCTCAGGATATAAAAAGAATTAAGCTTTCTTCAGTTTACCTCTCCGATGATGAATATACTCATAGGAAACACGTTTCTGAATAGCCTACAACTTTTAAAGTTAACACTGATAATAATTGATCCTCACTACTTTATTTTCAGTTCAATAGAAAAATATCCAAATACGTAAGAGATGTGGTATTTAATTTACAATTTGTTTCCTACTTCCTATCTATCTACTAACGAATAACCTTTTGCACATTGATTTTTTGTAAGTTGAAAATATTTCCCGAAGGTAATGTTAAAAAACAAGGTACGCTACATTATTAAAAAATATATTTAATATATCAAAGTGAAATGACAGTACTTAACAGGCAAAAAAAAACTTGTAAGGTATGTACGCTTTCGATTTGATTGTGTACTTAGCAAATAAAATGAATGTGTTTGAAAAGAGAAAATCACAATACAAACTAAGTAACACTGTGTTGGCTTCAGATTAAATGTTGTGATTATTTCGTTTTTTCTTAATAGACCTCACAATGGAAACTATGAACAAACAAATCCTTGCCGATAAAATATTTGGAAAGTTCATACGAATACGAAAAGTTTGATCACCCTGACTACTAATCGATGACTTCTTATTTGTGATTAACCAATAGTTTTCTTACCAAAAAGTTGATTATATTATTATTATATTATTGAATATGCTAACCTGATTAACTCCGCACACTGTGTACATATTATAACAAACAAACTCATTGGTTATTCATACGCGTTATTCCTATAAGCCGCCATCAGTCAAGTTTAATTGTGTTGAGTGAGGCAGTTACCCACTGCAGACAATGAAAGATAATACTCAATATCATGGATTGGTTGAAATTAAACATTAACATCGCTGGATACCGGCTCACTGGTCTAAGGTCAGGCGTTCACACGAGACTGAAGGCCGTGGGTCCGATTCTCCCACGTGGAGTCTTGGATGAGCACTGCTGAGTCCCATAAGAGAACGAAAGGACCGTTCAATGCTTCCAAGTGGTCTACCATGGACCGTTTTCGGACTGCAGTGAAAATATAAAGAAGTAACATTCGAGGTATCGGAAAGTCATTTCAACATGGTCTCAGTATCACTGAACTTATTAAATATATATGTGATCGATTTATTTCAACATAAATCGTATTACTTAACCACTTTGTCTTATATCATTTTGGTCGGGATTTCAGAGCATTACTTTGTCAAAACAAATCTAGTTAACCACTAGTCTAGTAATTAAGTTTAATCAGAAAACTGAATAATGTTGACGTTTACCCACTGTTTTATAGACAGTCTTGTAATTTATTTGAAATAAGCATTGGAAGATGCACCAATTTAATGTATAGTATACATTGAGTACTGTATTTAGCCATTGTGTGAGAAAGTACGTTTACAAATATGACAGAAAATGTCACGAGAAAAGCTTACGCTGGTGATAGAAAACAATTATTATTTGGTTGTAAATATGTCGCGATATCCAGAAAATCCTCATATAATTAAATGAGAAACGATCGACTTTTATAAATCGATGTCTAGCGGCAGCATATGGAACAGATGCATTGCAAGTACTTGATTTCTGAAATACACAACGCATAGAATTCTACTAATCACAATTACGTGGTAATTTCTTATTTGGACTGTGCAAAAAACATATAAGATGTTACTGATTATATTCAATCATAACTGATATTTGTCTTGTAGTGCTTTCGTTTCTGAAACCAATTGTTGTTGAGATGTTTACGATGCTTTAATAATAAGATATAAATAATGAATACGATTATCAAGTGAAATAATACATTCATTTACTTAACAACAGTACAAATAATTCATCAAGATAACTCTCATCACCGTAATATTAAATATAAATACAACAATACTACAGAAAAATCCTCAGAAAATACAACAGTGTTGTTCAAGAATCATCAATCCATTCAGTATCTAAATAATATCGACTTGTAACATGAATACAAACATCATTAAAATTTCAACCAGGAAGTTAACAAATTAGCAACAGTTAGTTTAAAGTTATTAAAACTTTTAGATGTTATTATATTTAGAAATAGTAGTGATAATTTTTCAGATGACCTAAGTAATATTTCAAGTGTATGCATTTGGAAATGAACCATTCTGGTGATTTATATAGGTATATAGATAAACATATGAATATAATGCAAACAACTGAGTATTATATCCGTTTGTAATGAAGAATAACGAAGAGTAATAATTACGTTTCGATGCTGAAACACAAGTATGATATCATTCGACGATTCACTTCGATCTGAATAGTTCAGTACAGACAGGCATGTAAAGCTTTTATTTTAGACATTTTTGGATGGTGATTATTTTTCAGTTTCTTATTCAAAAACATCAATTTTCTCAATGGAAGGTTAGATAATAGTGAGTTATGTATTAAGAGATTTAGACAAGACAATACTTCAAGTTTTCTGATTAAAATGAAACTTTAATTTGTTCACTAGTTTGTCAAGGTTCATTTTATTTCATGGAGAGAGTTGAAATCTGTTCAGCTGAAACACTAAACAATAACAAAACTAAAGATTTACGTATTCACGTGTTGAGCAGCCGAAGTAAAATATTTATGGGAAATATACAAACAATGACAGTGTCAACTTTAGAAAGTTTAGGAAAAATTATTTAGAACTAACTAAATAGGTACAATACACCGAGAAATACCATCACGGACTGAGAACATAAGGAACAAAATAGTAGTGTTTTATTGAAAAAAAACTATGTCAAGTACGTGGTTACATCAATCTTTAGAATTTTGAAGAAATAAAGTCCAGAAACTGGTAGAAATATCATAAATGCCAAGAAATATAGCTCCACCAACAGATAGTAATGTGATTCGAGGTATTAAACCTGAGAAAAGCCTGGAGCGAAAGTAAACCAATACAATCATTGAAAATAATTAAATGGGCAATTTTATATTCAAAACAGAAAATAAGCATAATCTTATAGATTGTTCTATTTGGAAAGAGATAAAACTAAAGTGATAGTTCACTAAATGTTGTTTATTTATTAGTGTCGGTTGTTTGAATCTTCTCATTTATGTTTAGGACTGCAATTGATCGGTCTCTTTTTGCATATGTGCATCCTGTGCGGATTTCTTTGATATTACCATTAATTCACAAGCACAGGATATACATATACCAGAAGAGATTGATCGATTGCAGTCCTAAACATCAATGGGAAGATTCAAACAATCAATACAAATGAATTAAACTTAACCGTTTTACATAAACTAGTAGTTATCTGAACCCATTAGCTAAGCGGATGACGTTTGAAGCGAATGGTACTGGATTCTAGGCCCGGAGTAAACTAAAACTCAAGGATGCAGGCACACTCAGCTGAAGTGTCTCAAATAATGCGAAGCGCGCGTCCTAAATTCCACTGCTAGCCACCGCCCATCTTTCCCAATGGTGCAGTTCATTTACTTTTTGAAGTTTACTTTGACAGCCAGTGATAACGTAGAAGACAAAAATGATGAATTAAAACAATTACCTGTCGTAAAATGTAACCTATTATTAACAAATACTAGTTATAAAGTGAGATATCAGTTTGTAACGCCAGAATGGATTGGACTGTTTATTTTGTGATATCGCTTTTAAAACAATCTGGCCACTTCTTAGGACTAAATAACACTGTAGTTTATATGAATGATGACCAATTTGTTTATATTAGTTACAACTGAGTTTTATATACATCAACAGTATTAACCAAGCACTTGATATTTCTGTATATTCTGTGTAAATCATTGGTAAGCAGTAGTATATTTGTACAGGTAGAGATCAACCACATTAATCACCCTTTAGTTAGATGAAGGGTGAATACAGATAAATTATACAATACTTATTCATTAGCTGAATACAGGATGTATACTCAAGGATTTGATCACACATAACAAACTATTGAAAAGACGACATAAATTAGTAGGAAGATATTTTCTCATGAATGGATAAATCGAAATGATTTAAACATTTGAACCATCACTTTCAATCAGTTGCACAGTTATCACATTTTTTGATAATGAATTCTAGTAATCAACTTGTCAGTAGCTTAGATTCAAGTTCAAACTTGGTTATAGCGAGAGATAATTTGTTTCCCAGCTTGCAATATCTTTTTATATACTTAAGTCTAAAAAAGTGTGCACCTGAATATACTGAATACATATTTCGATAGCATTTAAACTAATCGTTATTTCTTAAACGTTTATTCTCATTACCTTAAAATTTATCGTTAGGATTTAGAAAAGAAAAACCTACAATCATTTCAATGTTATCCCACATAATGAGAGAGGAGTTATCAGAGTATCCCGGTTATGATGAGGAGGGAAGTGATAAACATTTTATAACTATTCTTGGGACGTTACCGAAAACACTTTTTATTTACTCTGAAGAAGTGGCTTGCATCAAGTCACGAAACGTCAGAAATACAATTTTTCTAATCATTGGGATATAACAAAAATATATTTATTATTTTGAAAACTATTTTTTAACTCAAAAGCCTTGTTCAGCAGAGTTACGTTATTCGTGGATAGGAGTGAATTAGCGCAAATGATCAACCACTTTTAAATCAAAGGCAGTATAATTTTGATACAGATTTTTGATTAAATAGGCGGAAACCGACTGCTGGATGGTTGTTATTAGTAGCGAAAATTCTAAAAAAGATTCGACAAAGTAAATAATAAAATATATTGTGTAAGAAACAGTAACGCGATTTAACTCGAATCTGGAAGTGTTTATCTTGTTTTTACATGACTACAACTATTAAATATGGCAACACTAGAAAATTAATGTGAAAACTCCAAGGTACTGAGTTGAAATTTTCGTGCTCAAAAAGCAGCGGAATAATAAATAGCTATCAGGACACCTTTTATCTAACTTAATCATCTAGAGCGTTCTCTAAGATATGTTAAATACTTTTAATTTAAAAGAAACTAAATTTTCCAAAGTAATGCCGCGAAAATCACACAGGAGTTTGTTTTTGTTATGGATGCTGAGGAAAAATATACCAATAATTATCGTGTTAAGTCTATGGTGGTTTGTTTGTTTGGTATATAAATAGAATATGTCTGAAATATAATGATTCATAATTCAGAGGCTGTGACTTGTGTTCTTGACTCAACTGGCTAGGACAGACAGCGAAACAGGGCCAATCAGGGCACTAGGTCGTCCACTTACGTGTTTTACGTGTCCACTGTAATCGGTCGGTAAATACGCTGCTTATCAAAAACCTGTAGTCCCACACGTTACAACAGTTTTTTTCTGAAATGATCTTAATGTGACTAGACAATGTGTAATCTTTTGACTTCGGGAAGGAGGTTAAAGATGGTGATTTGGAAGCTAACTTACTACTGATGAAGATAAATACATAATGTACATCAGCATTATCTACCCTATTTAATTATAATTATACAGTAATATTGTGAATTACATACTTTCCTAAAAGATCAATATACGCTTACTACAAAACAAGTATGTCCGAATGTCAGATACATGGGCAGCGGTTAGCTAGGTAGTTAGCTAAAACATACATATACACACAGCTTGTGAATTACAGGGCACATAAAAGAAATACAATCACGAAACACTTTTTTAAAGGAAATTTAATTACTGTGTTGTCATTTGCTTTTTGGAGACGTCATGAAAACAGATCTCTACAAATCTGGAGTATATATATGGCATGGAATTTCATATAAAGAACACGAAGAAATTAGAAGACAGGTTCAAATGAAAAGAAAATAGACAACCTACCCATGAATTCCACTCTCTTGAAATATTGTTCGCATGGCGTAAATTATATGACCAGATGCAAAATTAGAATTGGGCTAAAATTAATAATAAAAAGGAGAGTAAAACTATGGTAGTAGTTGAATTGTCACATTATTTGCATTATGCTTAAAAATAATCCAATTCAACTATAAAATACTAAGTATCTTGATAACGCCAATTAAAAGTTCAAACCTAACCTACTAAAGAGTAATCCATTGAAGAGTGAAATAGATGCAATGGTTACAGTTCATAACAATCATTACATAGCTATTTTGTTGGTAAATGCGTTTAACTCCAAAAATACTGATCGTGTAAGGGATAGCTGGCCTTTGAGTAATATATGTTAGTAATAATCCAATCTATGATTATTAAATGATTAGATGTTTCATATTAAATTTCTGTGGCATAAAACTAGCACTAAACATTGAGATCAAGAGATGAGTGCTATGTTTGAAGAGATTAGGATATCACGAAAAACCGGAGAACGGAACGAAAGTCAGCAACACAATAACAAGAGAAGTTAAGCTATTTAACTGTACTCGCACCCTGCTAACTAGAGAGGAAAGACCAGATTAAGCAGACGGAAATACATATTCCACAAGCAGTCGGAAGCACGAAAGAATAAGCACACAACTCATGAATGTATATGCGGCACAAAAATGTTCTTAGGAAACGTCACAAAATAGCGTACTAAAAGAGAAAACAAACCAATGATATTTAAGGTTTTTCCAAGTGGGAAATACAAACTTGGGGTAAAAATGGGCGCTTTTGACGCAAAAATGAGAAATTTTGATTTTCAAAATGAAATCACAAGAACGAAACGTTAACCAAGTGAATTCTGGGGATTTAGCGTTCCCAACAATGACTAGAATATATTCTGCACACTGAAAGAAGCTTATTCCAATGAAGTTGTCCACCTATAGATTATCAAGTTGTATAAAGTACTAAAAATCAGATAATTCATCTATTAATTCGCGTTATTTTATTTTAAATTCTGTTCATTAGAGAGAACTAAAATGAATACACATGAAAACATACACAATTAAAACGCATTTGTATAAACATAGAACATAAAAAGATGATAAAGGATAATACAACTGACCTCAGCCAACATTATTCGAGTTTTGGCCACATCTAAAGGTGTGGTTACAGCGCCAGCTATTGAGCCAGCTAAGCATCCACACATAGCTGACTGCCAAGCCTTTAACTGGAACGCTGTTGGGTCTGTAATGTCATCGGTTCCAACTGCATTTCTGTTCCATTCCATAGTCATATACTAAAAACAATGAGTTAGGAAGAATAATTTGAGTAATTAATAAGGAATATATATATCGGAAGCTAAGCCACTTTGACCGAACACGAATAAAAGTCAAGAGAAAAAAGCGTCAAAAAAGAGAACCACATTGTTGTAAGCAAAAGCATACAATATCTAAGCGTTTAAAATTTACATAACATTACATTCAGTTCGCTTATTCTACAATAGGTTTTCTTCATAATGTATAATGTCTCCAAACGAGTTTCTGAGTAGTTGCAAAACCAGAAAATCGACAACTCATACACACTAGAACATTAGTAATAAACCTTATAGATCTAGTTATTTTCCGTCATTTGCTCTACTGGTAATTCACTTGATATGAGAAGTCCGCAAGGATACAAATTCGCATTTATACGTCCAGCCTAAAAATTATTTCTTTAAAGAGGTTAATAATTTATTAGTTATAAATTTTCATGCATTTAACTATTAACAGCAATCCCAGTCATATGGTAAAATAAAGTGTACAATCCTGTCGTACAAGCACTTCTTCATAGAAATCGGGATATACCAGCTGTGATGAGAAGTTTAGTAAACTATTATTTCAAGACCTATTTTGCTTGTTTATGATTCAAACATTGGATGTAACTACAAGCAAATTGTTGATGCGCGAAGGAAAATCACTTCTCTTGTGCTCAATAATTACTTAATAAAGACTTTATGTGGAATCAAGTTTCCCATACACTAGCTCCAACTCACTTATTCTATTTTAATAAACAATCCACAGACGAATACAGTTTAGCATAAAGAAGAAAAGTAATCAGATAAATGTATATTCAATACAAAGACCACATATATAAGGTTGATTACTAGCTCGATTTTTGTTGTAACTTCGGAACGTAAAGATTTATAACTACTAACATGAAGATGAAAGAAATTTCAATACTTTAGCGAGTAGTCTATTGTGGGAGACATTTAGATACAAAGGGTGTGCTAAATTAACATATCAGGAAACCGTTTGACCGCTAACCTCCTCAAAACGCATGTAAACAAAGTAGTTAATGAATTCAAATTCAATTCCTATTGTTCAATTACATATAATCCTAGATTGGTGCGGGAACGTCAAGTACTACGAGACCGTAATGTGGACATAAAAAACCCTCAGTGCCATAATTAACTGTTTATATACATGGCTATCGGTTTATGAATCGTGGTATTGTGGTGTACGCTATTTATGTCAACAAACATAAGTAGTATGTAACACCAGTCAGAAGTGAAATGCATGGCGGTAGAAAGCTAAGAAGATCGAATTGAAGAAAACAGAAAACGAAATAAGGAATTGTGAATTGGAAAGACCATACAGAATGTAAAGAACAATTGATGGGATATTTGCAAATGAAGTATTTTGTGTATGGTACTTATATTTTACCAAGATACTCCGTAATTTTGTATCAATATACATTCGTTGTCTCCACCTATGTTCTCGTCCACACCTATTACGTAAGAGATAACGATACCAGTAACCTTCCAGAACTACGGTGAACAAACAACTGTTTAAATTCACGAATCGATTGCTGGTAGTGGAGTTAATAAAGTCATAACAATGTATTCGATGAGACTGTTATGAAAAACACTTATAATTACTAGGATGAACAAAGTAGTCCTCTGTAAAGACATGCTTACCCTTAATTTTTCCCATATGGGATATTGAATGAGTGAAAATGGGATTTCTCGTGATAATGTGCTGACATATCCTCTGTAAAATCCACGAATGCCCTGGAAAATATTAAAAATGTTATATAAAATCACTTCAATATTTAGTTGAAATCCAATGAAAAACGATTAACTCGTTTGCAATGGAGGCTAAACATGAAAAAAACAATGTTAAGTCTAAATGTAGTCCTTTAAAGAGACGTCCAAAATTTATACGCAAACACTGCTTCAGTTTCGCGAAAAATTCATTTTTCTTTACAAACTACCGTAAAAGCACACATAGATTCAGTGTTTGAACGCTGATATGTGTAATAATGGTACCTTAAATATTTTGCGATAAGAGATAAGATAATGTAGTGTTTAATGCCACTGGATGACTAGGTCAAGTGCTCACTTGATTAGCTCAAAGTAAAGGTCCATTAATAAACGATCTTACAAAAAAATATAAAAATCTATAACTCAGGATCTAAAAAAGCTTGTATTCTCTGTTGAGTATTATTGAAACATACGTTCGAGAACCAACATTTTATGGAGCTATAAATCAAATGAGGAACTACAACAGAATCAGCTGAGATCAGTTTTGGTGAGAACTGTAAACATACAAACGAACAATTGAAAGGTTCAAGAACATAGAAGTAGGTGTACGAAGACCACTACTTGACAATTTTCATCTACCAAATAAAGGTCAAGGAATTTACTTAAATCCAAACAAGAAAATTTACCAACTGGCCTAACTCATGTTGGTCTATGAAACACGGATGTCAACGCAGTCTATTATTTCTATATTTGTTAAGTAATGATTGTTATCTATTTTATAGCAGATTGGTTTCCATAATCTTCGGTGGAATAACCAATTCATCCACAATGTACAGCTTTAAATATACCGACTCGGCTGTCTGTAAGTTAAGCGTTCTTAAAATTGTAGATGAGGACTTCTGAAGAGTCTCACAATAAGAGGAAACGGTCGTCTAGTGCTTCCAGGTTTCCAATAGTGGTCTAACTTATATCGGTTCATGATTTCAATAGAACCTTAAATATAATCTAGCAAATACAGTGTTTCTTGTACAAGCTGAATTTGTTTTAAGTTTATGAAGTGGTTTTAGATGATAAGTCAATAAAAAGCAGAATGAACAAAAACAACTTAGTCCATGGTCAGAAAGTTGAGTACAACAAATACCGCATACAATTGGGTAGAAAAACATAGGTAATAAGCATGTAACTAATTTTAATAATACGAACTACGAGTAGGTTGAAGTAACCAAAATATCCAATAACTAACCTCATTACGCAAAGTCTGTAGAAACACAGTTGAAACACCATGAGCAGGCTGATTTTGCGTTCTCTGTTTCACCACTTCACAGGGTACTCTTATAATACAAGCAACCTAGATACTGAAAATTAAAATCAAAATCTTACAATTTCTGCAATACAAGCAGATAGAACTGAATGACTTATCGGATGCATACCGAGATCCCTACATACATCTTTAACTGCCTCATAAGTTAAGAAAAATACTGCAGCTACATAAAGTTTATATAAAGTTATTCAAAGTCCAAGCTACCTGCAGGAGCAGAACCTATAGCAACTGCTGGGAAACCGGCAAAAAGACGGAGGGAACCAGGAGTCCTTTGAACATTGTTATGATAACTTTGCAAACGAGTTTTGATTGTATCGATTGGAAAAAGTGCAAGATCAACAGAAAGTCCAGCAGTTGAGCCTGCCTAAATAAGATAAGACGAAATACAAAAGCTCACCAACAAGGAAATAAGATGTGCATGATTATTGTTTGTACTCATGCTCAATTAAGGATGATAAGTTACAGTCCGTTTTCATACAAGATAACTCTAAAAAGTAAATAAAAATGTCGACACCATCATAAAATGTGAATAATTATGGGATTTAATTACACTCTTGTTAGATGACGGATGTCCTTTGGTTTCGAATCATGATTAATTTGTCGAAACTCGAGTCTGAACCGAAACGTTAAGATATTACTAGTTTAAATATGACTAACAATGATTAGGAAGTCCTGTTTATTATACGCAAAGCGATTCCAAATTGATCCTTCTTGTTCATTGTCTCATTACAGTTATGAATTCGACCATGTTTACTGAGATGGACACATTATTTTTGCATATAATGGTCACAAAACATGAGAACATTTTTGATTTTTCTAAATAAAACCCTCCAGATACTTAACATCATAAAAGACCTACAAATGTCCTGATACGGAAGAGGATGAAGAGAGTATGCTCTCTCTAGGTTCGTAAAGTTTGTTGTACATGCATTTACTCGAGGGCCCTATGGGATTTTTGTTTTTGCTGGCGTCGGCATCGCATTAGGCGCCAGAGCACAGGCAACATTAATCGAATAGACAAGACTGACCTCTAGGGTTAGCTGTTGAAGAAAGATGTGCTGAAGAAGTTTATTAACATCTCTAAGGACCTATGTACAAACACCTCAGAGTGAGGGCAAACAGACACTTCTTTCCAGTACCCCCAAATGCCCTGGTACGGCCGAGAGTGAGGAAAGTTCGCTCTTTTTCTTGAAATGCTCTCACATGGCCACGCGTATATAGCCTCTGCCAGAGAAGTTCTATTCACTGACTTCTCGTGGCGAGGGTGTTGTTTACGAAATTGAGAGGACAAAAAGCGAATGTCCGGCGCTTTAACCGGGTTAGTGGACACGGAGAGTCCACCTAAGGGAGTTGGAAAACCTTGATTCCAAACCAATGGTGCACATGGGCTCTAGTACCCTGAGGGAACAAATGGAGTAAGAACCAACCGTTGGTCACTGGCTACCATAAGACTACATCTCCTTACGATGCTCCACTGCCTTGTGGGTTAGACCTTTAGGTCGAAGGCTCCAGGTGTGGCCTCTTAAAAATACCACCTGCTTGGGTCTAGGCACTCGAGCAGTATCACATCCCTCAGTCAGTCAGTAACAACGTAGAACTTCGTACGTACGTACATCAGTTCGAGTTGCCACACCACATTAGCACAGAGATGCAGTTGTCGATTCAAATCCCGTAGTGGTAGAGGTAATAAGAGTATAAGCAGTAATCGGGAAGATTAGGGTTTGGAGATGTTATTTAAAGAGTATAATCCAGTGAAATAAATTTGGAAAGAGGAAAAAAGGGACATGAAGAATTCAGAAGATTAGAATTTGGGAGAACACAGAGAGTGGATGCACCTGCGCCATTGCAAACGATTTTGAGCCATGTCATTCAGGGTCTCTAACCATCGGTTGCTGTCATCTCGCGGTCCCCAACCAGGTAGTCTACACCTACCAACATGACTCAGACCACTTGTCAGTGACTTCATGAACTTGTGCCATGTTTTGGTCTGGCCGCCCCTAGCTTTCTTCCAACCTACTCCTATACCACTGAACATCGCACGTCGAGGCAGTCGGTGGTTGGGCATACGTAACACGTGTCCCAGCCATCTCAACTGATGAAGTTTCACTACTTCATCAATCGATTTGCCATCCTTATCTAGTATCCGTTTCCTAACAACTGCATTACTTACTCGATGGTCCCATGATATACGAGCAATGTTTCGAAGACACCTATGATCAAATACTAGTAACCTACGGATATCCTCTACTCTTACCGGCCATGTTTCACTGCCATAAAGTAGGACGGAACGAACTGCTGCGCAGTAAACACGTCCTTTGGTTGATAGACGGATATCTCGCCTACGCCATAAATGACGCAAGTTGGCAAAAGCTAGTCGAGCCTTCTGTATCCGTGCTGAGATTTCGTCACACACCAGACCACAAGGGCTGATCAGACTTCCAAGATAAGTGAAGCGGTCGACACACTCAACTACTTCACTCCCTATCACTAGTTCGGGTGTCGATGTAACCCAATCCTGAAGCAACATTTTGCATTTCGAGGGAGAGAATCGCATCCCGAACATGCTTGCATTGTTGCTTAGAGTGGTCGGAAGACTCTGCATTTTGTCAGCGTCTTCACCAAATAAAACTATGTCATCAGCATATTCTAAGTCAACAAGTGAACCTCCTGGTAGAAGTTCAACCCTTGTAAATTTAGATGAGGAGAGTGTTATCTCTAAAAGTACGTCAATGACAAAGTTGAACAAGAATGGGGAGAGTGGACAGCCCTGACGAACACCACTTGGGGTAATCAATTCTGATGACAGTTCGCCATAAGCTCTCACTCGACCAGTTGTGTTCGAGTAGAGAGCCTTTATAAGGTAAATGTACTTCTTTGGTACTCCTTTCAGTGACAAACACTGCCATAGAACCTCACGATCAACAGAGTCGAATGCCGCCTTAAGGTCGAGAAATACTACCATTGTGGGGCGTCTGAATGTGTGTCTGTGTTCTAGAACCTGACGTAGTGTGAATATCTGATCTATACAACCACGTCCAGGTCGAAAACCAGCCTGGTTTTCTCTAGTCTGCTCCTCACGAGCTTTAGTTAGGCGTCGAAGTATTATTGAAGCTAATATTTTAGACACTATATTAGTCAAACTGATTCCTCTGTGATTGTCACAAGAGGACTTTTGTCCTTTCTTATAGACTGGCACAATCAGTGATTGAGACCAGTCAGATGGGATTACGTCCAGTTCCCAAATTCTACCTAAGACCTCGGTTAATCTCATTGCTAATACTGGACCACCATCCTTAAAAATCTCAGGAGTAAACCTGTCAGGGCCTGCTGCTCTCCCTCGTTTCAGATTTCCTATGGCTTTTTCAACTTCGTAAACGGACGGAGGACCTACATTAACTTGCCATTCAGGTTGACTAGAGATCGTGGGAAACCGAAGGCCAGTTGAACTGATCCCTAAAGTGTTCTGCCCATCGATCCAATCTCCTGGATTGAGAATGAATAATATGTCCATCTTTCTCTGAGATTGTTTCGCTAACGGTCGGGTTCCTAATTCCGGTTTTCTTAACGAGTCTGAACAATTGTCTGCTATTACCTATTGCCGCTGCCTTTTCCATCTCTCTTGCTTTCGCTACCCATCACTGTTCGCGATCATTGCGTAGACTTCTTGTCAGCTTGCGCTTAAGCTGACTCCGCTCTTCATTATGTTCAGAGCCAGGTGGAATGTGTTTCCGAGCATTTATCAGTGAGATAGATGCTGCTGAGATCCAGTGTTGCTCCCTAACCTTCTGGTTTACCTTACTAGCAGATATCACTGCTGTTTCCACAGCTTTTCGGATATCATTCCATGCTGCCTCAGGGTGGGCATCACATACATGGCTGCCTAACTGTTTTCCTAGTTGTTCCTGAAATATACTCTTAGCTTGACTATCATTAAGTAGGGCCCTAAGAGGTTTCCTTGCAGCATCTTTCCTACGTCCAGTAAGACGCAAGCAAATACGCGCTCGCACTAGAGCATGATCTGAATCTAGGCATGTACTCCAGAATGAGCGACAGTCTTCTATCGAGCCCCTCCATCGGTGGGTGATAGCGATGTGATCTATTTGGGTCCAACGTTGGGACGAATTAGGGGGTCGCCATGTTTAAAGATGTTTTTCCTTATGTTTAAAGTTAGCATTTGCAAGGAGCAGGCGGTTATCTGAGCATAGCTGCAACAGACGGTCGCCATTATCTGTTCTCTGAGCCACGACACCATAAGATCCACCTAGGTGTCTTTCCCTATCGCTTAGTTTACCTACTTGAGCATTAAAGTCACCGGCCACTATTACTACATCCGAGCGCCTAGCTTTTCGGAGAAGGTCGGAAAGCTTTCTGTAAAACTCATCTTTTACATCATCTGAGCTGCAGTCAGTGGGAGGATAGGCAGAGACGACGAAGAGGCAACGACAAGTGTCCCTATCTTTCCGGATTCTTACTGTTCCGTTCAGTCGGACAGCGCACAAACGATTGTCTACTGGGATCCACTCTAAGAGAGCTAGTTCTGCCCTAGGACTCAATGCTATACCTACGCCGGCGAGGCCACGTAAAGCAGCATCAGGGTTTCCAGATACACGAAGCGTAAATTGAGTCGGTTCTTTATTTTGGCATGGTGAGGTCAAATGAATGACACTACTTGGATCCTGTATGCGCGTTTCGGAGACGCAGCACACATCCCTCGCACATATCAAATGAGATTTTCGTGGCGCATATGTATCTGGTGCCCCATTATACCAGTACTTATGTGTCCAAACAAATAATAAATAAATAAGGGAAAAAAGGAAGTCCTAAGAACATGGCGTATCGGGACTTGGAAGTAGACATCAAAAGAATGAATAACAACTGTGAACTGGAAAGGAGAGAAAGAGTTGGGTGGAGAGTGCTGTTCGACGGTCTATGCTCCTCTGAGAAGGATAGTAGGTGTAAGTAAGCCGTGATAAGAAAGAGAACTGTACAGGACTGGTATCTGTTGGTCATTCACAAAGCTCTGATCAGGGCCCTAAAGATCGTGAAACATTGGCATAATAAGTTGTTAGACATGGCTTAGAAAAAAGCCAGCGATGCTTCTACTGCAATCACGTTTACCTTATTTATATTAGTGGGGGGAATTACTTCAACTGATAGAACCCTTTGGGGTTCTTTTTTTGTCGAATGAGCTGATTCTTTCACTTCCTTTAATCCCATTCACTTATTATTATTAGTATTATTATCCACGTATTTTTTCAATTTATTGTACTCAAATCTCACTTTCTTATTGTGTGACATATATGTTTCAGTGCCCTTTTGTATCAATATTTGTCTTTAAATAAATAAAAGAAATTATAAGGGACGAAACGCAAATAAGTCCCGCGAATTCGTATCTTACAACTGGGTTAGATGGTTTTCATATACCTCTGCTATCAAATCCGCCTCGACCATTTATATTCTTTGAAGACAGATTTTTTCCTCACCTTATTACAGTCTAATATTCTACTGAAAAAAAGTTTATTTAGCTACGACTAAGTGACTTAGTAACCTCATAATGAATAATCTATTTTTGAGGTTTTTTTGTTCTGATCGCATTTTGTGATTAATTCCTTAATTCGTGCGACTGCATACTCATAAGTTTGTTTAAGGACATCAGGTACTTTTAGATTATTCGAAATGACATCACAGAGGAGTTACTTCGGTTGCTTAACGTATCGCCACTAGCAAAGTTTGCGGGCACTTGAAGGTCAAACTCTAGTAAGATGATTGGTGCGTCACACCGACAGTTCGTGAAGTTTCGCAGAAACGGTCAAATCAGGACACTTTTAGATTTGAATTCAGTTCAGCCACACTACGTCTGATAACGTCCGTCCTTCAAGTAACGAAGATGATGCCGTCGCGATGATGAACGAATCTTCAATGATATTATGCTATCACGAGGATTTACAAGTTGGGACAATTTTGAGACCTGTTTGCAAGAAGTACATAAGTTAGTATGAATTCTGTGGTTGGTAATTATTTTTGTACTATACACATACTAAGTACGTTATGTCAGTATGTAAAAAGAACAATGATGACTTAACTCTAAAGTATTTTTTCGTGAGATATGTCTGTACATATGGTCGTAAACGCATTTCATCAGAATCGGGTGCTTGTGTTCATGATGTAGATGATGAAAGTGATCTTCATTGTTTCGAAGAGCATACAACTTCTTACTCACCATCACAACCTAAACAAAGAAGATGACGTCGGTATCTACGTATTTCTTATTCCGAATGAATTTATCCTTCAGGTCGAAATATTGCCACTGTCAATCCGGATTTTGGGTCCGTGCAGTAAATGGTGAGCTAAAAGTAACACCTGTTAAGGCCATGCACAACCATCCTTGCACAGAAGTATTTATTTCCGTAGATCCTTCAAGACGACGGTTGACGTCAGGTGAACGCTTATATTTAAGAACGTTCCTATTGAGTAATACGCCAACTCGTAGCTTACGGCATCTGGTTTCTTGGAAGTTCCATAAACAGCTTACCAAGAAAACACTGATGTTAAAGTATTCAGTGAACATGGGAACATATCTATGATGTACATCAGCAGCAGGGAGCAAATAGCTATTTACCACGCATTCCCAGAGGTAGTATGTATTGACTCGACTCACCAAACCAAGAAAGTTGGGTAAGTAACGAATAGTAATAAATTTACCTTAAAGGTTTCCACTGTTTCAGCCAGTGGCTACTGATAGTCTTGGACAAGAGCACACTGTTTTGTATGCTCTTTGCAGGCGAGAGCAACGTGAAGATGTCGTAAGACTATTCAAATGCTGTAAAGACAATATGCAGTACTTGTGATACGCGCACTTTCGTTACGGATTCGGCAGCGAACGAAATTTCAGCGATACAGTCTATGCGCAGTCATGTCAACATAGTACTTTGTTCATCTCATGTCTTGGGAGCATTTTTCAGGGGTGAATGTGTTAGCTGTAGAAATTGTTTTCTGTAGTTCCGTAACCCTGATGTACGCAAATGCTTGGAACACATTATTAAGACTAGACGGTCTGACATGTGAGCTTTGCTTTTCATAACGCATTATATTCAAATTTTCTCAGAAGAACGAACATCTAAGAACCCATTTTCCACGGGCGTATGATTATATAAGAGATTACTAGATTGCCCGGAAGTCAATGCGGATTTGCTGTTACAAGCGGCATGTTTTAAGCCTGGGCAATCACACAAACAACCGTGTCGAAAATGCCCATAAACACCTAGAAGAACCTAAGAAATATAGTTGAATGTATCAGTCATTCCAGGTTCCAATGCCCTTTCGAACTCTTAAATGAGTTCATATCTTTTGCAGCTGAAATTGTAGTCATAAATTATAAACATGTTAGGACGAGACACGAATTTATAGAAGGAGAATACATCTGGTGCTACGACGAGGGTATGATGTATGTTGTTGATACTTCACGTGCATGAATTGCTTGTGAGAGTTGCAATGACTACATGCTGCCCTGTGGTCACATTTTGTATGCATATTCTAAAGATCTAATTCGTGGAGGTAAACGTGTGTTCCTTTGTCTCTATAAGCACTGTAGACATATTTCGACATAGCAGTCAGTGGACAAGGAAATAAATAATAGGCATAGTTCTTCGTGCGTTGGACAGTATGTCATTCTCTATATGGAGTGATGATCTACTAGATAAGTTCACTATCAACTACCACTCAATCCATGCTCTCAGTGGACCTTTGGTCAGTAAACTCATCCATTCATGCCTCGAAGCATCGAAAGACATATGCACACAAGTGATTAGTTCGGTCGGTGCTAATGATGAAGCTACATCGTCAGAATCCATCGTTCTCACTGATCATAGCTATGTCTCTTGATGACAAGAAGTTCTAACACTGTAATCTTTTTATTTTGACATAAATTCATTTATATGGCCACTAACCTGTTCTTATAGCGTTAAGGCAGAGAGAGTGTACTGTGAAGTCTTAAGTGGTTGTGAGACATAGGGATGTTGGTTCGCGTTCCTTTGTGACAATTACCAGGTTCCTGCACACGCGATTAGTCATACAGACCGTTTACCAAATACTTCAAACTTGAACATGGTGTACTATATTACCAGGTGGAATTCAGGTCTGTCACGACAGATAAGCATTGTCGTAATTAAGTGATGCGTCATAAATGAAAACGTTTATTAATTTTTAAAACCAACACAAGTGATCCATTAATAAATAACTTTCAATTCTTAAGTATTGCTCGTGCGTTTTGGTTAAGTACATCAGATTGGTGTTGAACTTTCACTCAGAGTTTTACGAAAAAAGTCTGTATTACAAATGCAGTATCAGAACAGCCAAACAGCTCATAGTAGACAAACGAATGTCCCATGTCATGGCCATTATCCAAACTAAGCGTTCCAACTGTATAACAATGTTTACTGAATTGAAAAGTTCCATTTAGGTCTGTGAACACTAGCGAAGCCAGCTGGAAATAAGATAGACAGGAAATAATTATTTCAGTATAAATGTTTAACAGAAACTAATATAAAAACAGAAACTAGTATTCAATTACACATAGAAAGTGCATTTAGCACACCTTCTTTGGATCGCCATCCACGCTTACTTACTTTATTTCTTGCTTCGCTTAGAAAAACCTGACTCGCAACATACATGGCTTGTGTTATTTGGTTCTCTGGATAGGTTGCACTCCGAAAACTTACACAACCAACACATATATAGACTGCTATGTGAACTTACGTTGAATCGTCCTGTGCAATTTGTAATTACTGGTGCCTATTTTATTTTAGTCCGGTATCAGCAAGTAAGCTAGACACGCCTTGGTTGGTTTTCGAAGACTATCACATAAGATCTCAGACAATATTGTCACCTGAGATCAAGATATTTTCATTAATTAATCGTACATTTCAATACCTTCTCGTAACCTCTTTATAATAGTACTTAGTCCTGCTATCAGCTACCTTTACAAGAATACCGGAAGCCTAAACATTGGAATTCTGTACAAAAGGTAGTAAATATATGTTAGCTTAGTCTCTGGTAGTCTTCACACAATTGTACCTCTTCCACACGATCTTGGTTTACTTCCTGCAATACAACGATTTGATGGCTTATATATCTAACTGTAGAGGGTGATACTAACATCTTGGTATATACTATAATCATCTATGGCATATACATAGCCTTTACAACCCTCAGGACAGCTAATATTTTCACTATTACCTACTTCCATCATAAAAGTAGAACGAAACAGTGGAAATGAGCCAAAATTGCAATGGAGAAGAGAAAAACGATAAATCTTATCATGGTATCGTTACTTGTTGCTCAGTTTTGGTAGCCTTGACAGTACAATTTTTATGACGATATATGCTTAGATCATGTTATTTCATACGAAAAATAAATTATTTATCTACTTTCAGTGTATAGTTAAGTGGAAATAATTGCTAGTCTGCGATGCAAATACGGAAAAACTATTATAACATCAGCTGATTAATGAATTTTCAAGGACTTCACGATATCATGTATCGCAAAATGGACAAACTCCTTTTCACTTAATTTTAAAAACGGAAAATAAAATTTATAATCTATTCATAATTAATTTCGATTTTTGTCTGTGCACAAAGCAGAAGTGAAAAAAGTGTCGCGATACCCCTGAAGCGTTGCCCAAGGTTTCAAATAGCGCCTTTCAAGTTCATGTGAGTAATTTATTTATCTATTTTGCTACGTATGAGTTTTGCATTGTAGATGATGTTAGCTTATGGTGGAAATGCTGAGCGTAATATCTTGTACTGATCCCCAACCCTAAGTCTTAATCTAAAATTGTGCTGCTTGTTCCTAATCCGGTTGGCGGAGAAGCCTTGGAAGTCGGTTTGGCAGAAATAGAGGATCGTCCGAACGGTTTGTTTCCAGGGTTTATAATACTTAATAACATTATTTCTGAACACTAGCTCAATACAGGAAATGAAACGATACGTGTCCAAAAATTAATAGCACATCTAAATGTTCAGTTTATGTGAGATGTTTTGCGTTTTTCGTTCATCTAATGTGTGAGACCTGAAAATAAAAACATAATTTCCACTGCGCATTTTGTTTAATGTCCCAACTTCGTTGTGTTGTTTTATTTTTCATCTGCAACTTGATAGTCGATGACGAATGGTAAAAAAATCAAACACGAGAGCGAGTGTTTTTGGGTACATATTTAAGTAACTGAATTAGTTGCAATGTATAGGAGTAATGGAGAAGGATTAGGTGTAATACGAATGAATGGATACAACCACACTTAAATAAAATAATTATTGAAATGATGCCAGAATGCGACTTTGTAACAGAATTTCGTTTATGTCAACACATGCACTAGAATTTACAGTAATTTCTACAGAATAACAAACAATCTCAGTACATTGAAGTTTCAGTTCCACATTGTGTCGGAATGATATCAAACTGCCTAGATAGTGTGTCAAGGTGTGTATCAGAAAAATAAATCCCCAAAAACAAGTGTTGCTATGAGCCTTCGACATTAAAGTTGTCCTCGTTGGTTTTACTGGAAGAATTCTACCTGAGGGCACTCGGTCACACGTCAGCATAGGTGTTACGCATCCACGGCAACAACTAGCCCGCTTATTCCTGACTTCTGGTTTGACTGCGTTTGGGATCCTTTTACATAAAATATTTATGGAAGAGAGCGTTTTGAAGAACTGTCAAACACCAACAATTAGCATATCTAGGCGTTAGTGCTATCATGTCTTTATGACCATGTATCCTCGATCACATGTGATATCCTACACACGTACATTATTTGCTTAAATTGCGCGATGAATCATTCATTTTCAAAAATATATATATACTTCAGTCCTGTTGATTCATTCGACTCTGAATTCGTCTCTGTGTTCTCCCTTTTGCATTAGTATTTCTGCTCGAATCCGTTTGGCGTGCTTGCGGTTACATGATCTTTGTGTTGCCTTCTGAAATTCGCATATAAACATTTTGTTACATATCGTGATATCGTTCTCGCGTTTCCAGATTTTTTCGCATATTGATAAATTTTATGTTTATTTTTAGATCAGAACTCGTGTTCAAACTGTATGAGATTAGTACTATAACACCTCCATAATTCGAGTCACCTCATTTAGGCCTGATCTTGTTATGCAGAGTGACACACAGGTGCCCGATTCCTCAAAGTAGTGAAGGAATTAATGCGCATTTTTGCTTGATAAATTACTTTCAGTATACTAATTAGTGATGTTTTCGAACCCTACCACATCAAAAAGGTCATTTTAAAATGTGGATCGAAACAATTTGGACCAACTATTCCACAATATCGAATTGCAAAGTGACTCGGTGAAAGGAATTCGGTTACGTATGCAGGAGGCCATTGATCAGCGAACTATAGACAAGGGCCACTTTGGACAACTTAGTTTGCCTAAGTTGCCCCAATAAATGAAGGCGGTTCCCGTTTCATTTCAAATAAACTCCCAAGACTAGCGGGCTGGATCTCAAGACCGGATTCTGGAGATAACCAGAACCCTTAGAGTAAATTGCATGTAAGCCTCCAGGGTAATTAGTCATCAAAATAATGTTAACTTGGGCATTATGAATGTAGCTGATTTATCTCTACAGCTTTAGTACTCACTGTTAGCTTGACATATATTGCACCACATAAACCCATCGTAAGCATCTGTACTTATAAGCAATACCAATCTACTTCACCGTACTGATGAGAATATGAAAAAAGTAATTGGAGATTATTGAATACTTTTTTTGAAAAAATGGTTACTTTAAAAGTACATTCGATTGCACGCTATCACGAAGTATGTTCATATAAGTGGGCTTCTATAACTGTCGTCTGAGTATCTGTATAATTAAGGTAGATAAACACTTTACTGGTAACACCAACTATCCGTACAAGTATGCTTTCCTGGAGTCGGTAGATTCTCAGCGTTGTTACTAGGATAGACCACAAGAAGGCGTAGTGCCTACTTTGTGTGCGGACACCATGAGTACATATAATCTACAATTGCTGGAATCATGCTTTGCTCGAACGTTGGAAAAAATGTTTAGGAATTTTCGAATTCATTCCATACTCAGGGCCATCGAGATAAGATTGTCTGCCAAGAATTATCGATTGGGTCGGTTGAGACACTCTTAGAAGTACTTAACTCAGAGTTACTACCGAAAAGTATGACGTTCCACATTTTCTTATGTATATAGGTTACCTAAAGGCACACATGCAATTAGATTAAACTTGTCTAAAAACATGTCACAAACCCGAGGTGCCTCAAGTATGGAATGACTGCGTTGCGGCAAGCCACTTAATGTCTCTCAAAAGAAAATGAAGTTACTACCATTCCGAGCTAGCTTTTTTCCTGTGTCTCCTGGACAGGCCCTAGCGATGGAAGAAACAAAAAACACTGTTCTGCTGAAATAAAGCCTGAGTTAAAAACAAAGCAATTCATCCACTTATTTTCTTACATTTCATTATGACTGAAGACGGTCTGAGACTCCCTAGGAAGACCCGTCACGAAAACGCGTTTACCTTGAAGCCATGAGAAATAGAAAACCTTGATTTATGTTCGTACAGAAACACCAACAGTAAATCTTGCAAACCGTCCGTAATACCATTACCTGCTCATCGACTCAAGCAAACGGAGGTTGGTGGGTGGAGATGCTAAGTAATTGGTCTGCGTAGTTTTATTTTCTGCTTGTAGGTTGTGCTCGCTTATAATTAAACATGTGAGAGACCCAATTATCTAGCTGATGCTCCACAGGTGTTTCTAACTGTAAAAACCCCAACTACTGTGCGTAGACAGTAATTCTATACATAACCCACGACCGTAAGGCCATATATATTTTCGAAAATGCCATCAGATGACCCCTTAGACGTCCTCTAAATGGTAGTGCAGTGATTAGGGTCCTATTGGTTACTGTCGAACATATAACACTAGAACTAATCCAAGTCTCTATGCATTGCTGAATGTCCATGACTTAACAGATACCTTGGAAGACAATTGCGTCTTTTCAAGGATCGAATTGGTTTAAACAAATCGAATTCTTACGGCTACGGACGATACCCCTGAAACGGCCATTAACACTACCAAACTCCACGAATTTTAGTGTATGCTTTTCGGTTCATGTGCTGCTTACACGTCTCAAATATCCATCACCAACTCATTCAGAGGTCCTGACTGTGCACGAACGTGTTGATCACTATATGATCTCAAATCCGAACAGAGAATCATATCTTTATCATTTAAACCTATTTTCCAAAAACTTCAAAGACTTTAATTTACGGCGAATGAAAAGAAATGTCGAATCCGGATGTATTCACTCAACTGTTGTCAGCATACCGTTAACACTCAAAACATTTGCCTCCATAAAAATAAAGTAGATAGCACTCTGGATTACTTGGAGCCGTTTATAATTCGACAATCGGATTTGTCTTTACCGATCGGCTTATACGGGATCGTGTACCTCTAATTAGGTCATTGACACACCTACTTCGTGCAAATGCAAGAGACATACAGTTGATCTAAGCTACGTACATTACAGTTTTCACAGTGGAGTAAACCATCGTCGAGTCAACTGCGTTTGCATACCTAGATAGCAAAGAACTTTTAATATATGCGTCCAAATGATCTTACTCATAAGAGTCTTTTATGAAATGACAGGAGAAATTGATTTTGAGATATTCACAAGACATTTAATTGCCCTATTGTAATGTGTTGTGTTGCACGGCATTTTCAACATTTAGTGACGGACTGAAAACCGAACTTACCTCCCAATTTGCCTTTGGACAAGCACTTTCCTGAGAGTCTTGATGAATATAATGCATCTTGCACTTCACTTTAGAGGTGCAACATATTTCTAGGGCAAACCATGTACTCGCAGGCTCATCATCTTATGTAACATCCTAGAATATCTTTTGGGAAACTAACCTTCCTGAAAATCTTCCAGGTTCTAAAGGAGAAATACACCTGTTTTGAACACGAGCTATCATTCACGAAAATGAAATTACGAATCAAAAAGATGACAAGGTGGTAAAAAGAATAATTTGTATAGCACATCTACAGTGAGGGATCGTCCAGTCGTACAGGAACAATAAAAACTGAATTCCTTCAATATGATACACAAAATTTGGGATCCAGGTAACCATAAAGCTCATAGACGAACGACTTTGCTATTCTGTTTTAAAAAAGACGCGATGGTGTTGGCACGCTCCTATGTAGGTGCTTCATAGGATGTTTCACATACCCTGACCAGTGTTTCAACCTTGTTCACTTTGACTTGGTACGATTCTTAACAACGTATACTCATATCTCATTACCTGCATGGACCATCTCACACAACCACCTGGAATAACTCATATCGAGGACATTAGTATAATGGCGGACTAATACAAACATGAAGGTACTTTAACTCAGTTAATTATTCAAAAGGTATGAAAATAATTAGTTAATAGAATACAGGAGTGAGTGTTCACATGTCAAAATATATTTCCACAACTATGACGTTGTAGGCACAATAATTCTAAGGAATATCGGACGTAGATTCAGAGTGTTCATGTGTAATTGACAAGAAATATTTTGTATGACGTGAGCTAAAGCGTGTCAAACGAGATTGTTAGTTATCATTATTTTAGATATTTGTTCGTGGCGTATGTTCGCGCGTGTTGGTTGTATTAGACAGGTGATAAGAAAGGTTTCTTATTTGTTGGTGAAATTTTTCGATGAGGCTGTTAACTGACGGATCGTAAGCAATTGTTGTCATGTTTCACTTACCATCGTAGACCGCATTTCCAACCAGCTTATTTCTGAGAATCGATTGGACTTTTATGAACATACTACATAGCGTTAGCATGCAATGGCTGGAAGTTGCTTACTTGGAAGACAACCTGTTACCTGTCGACCTTTCTACTACACTATTGAACGACATACTTTTCATAAATACTATCCAATCTTCGATGGTTAACAAATACGACAACACTACGCTAAAGTCTGCAAACTTGAAATGATGCGCACGGAAAGAAGGGCAGTTACTTTTTCTCTAAAATTATGACAAAACCATAAAATGACGTAAAGAGAACAAAAACCAAAATGATTTCCGGAAATTCGGTCATTACGTCTACATTGCGGTGCTTTCTGTGAGCTTGATATAGCTGGAACCATAAGTTCTTCAAATTCTAATTGACTCAAGAAGCTGTTATATTACAAAATGACCCAACGAATTAAATGTTCAAACTAGGACATTGCTGTCTGTAATCTTATCTTTTTCCGAGTTTTATTGCTTTCTTGTTTTTTAATAGGTAAATTTTGATCTGTTTTACTCCTACATGATATTTGTTTGTACCTTCTACGCTGCTAGCTATCAAGGTTAAATAACCACCGTCTATTTGAACACTTCAACTGTTACTGTTAGTCACCACGAAAGTACAGTCTACTGAATTTCTTTCCATCGAGTGTTTCTCGTTATTTGTGTCAAAATGAGTCATTAGACTCATAAACGATTTTGATCGTTCAGCAAACGTACGTTTAAAATTTATTTGAGTGTCTTTTTATTTATCAATTTATGTAGTAGGTTTGAGATAATCCTTGAGATATATTTTTGTTCAAGGTTCTGGCTATTTCCAAGTGTGGCTACTGTTGAGCTTGATAACAAGTCTTCGGGTAAAGTGTTTTATTCGTATATCACTCGGTCTAAAAAGTGCGTCTCCTTGTGATCTTGATCAACTTAGAAGGACTAAAAATAACTTAAAGTTGTTGAAACTTGATCGTCCTATAAAATACAGGATAAGAATCTTATTATTGGGTAATTTGAGGGAAATAGGTTCAGTTTCCTCAGTATTTTTTTTTACCGGTTATTTTGTTAATAAGTTAGTATCGGACAACTAGAAATGCTTAAAAGCATTGTAATGTTTTATTTACTATTGATTAGCCATTAGATAAGTATAGTATATATGAGTTGTTCTGTAGATGTATTATAAAATTGACTGCCTTTCTTCATCAAGTCATCCAAAGACTCTTAGATGTTACCAAAGCAAACGAAATGCTTTAAAAGCTATGCGTTGCCCTGTGTAGTTGTTCTCAACTAATGGATTACAGTAACATCTAAAATATTATTCTCCATAACTTGCAATAATGGTGCACTACCGATGGTGTACTACTGACCACTGTTGTGTCCTGTTGGCATTTCTGATTTAGTTTATTTATCAGGTTTTAGACTATCTTACCAGTTTACTCAAATTAATTTAAGGTCCTAAGTTATCAGTATTGATAAGCTTTTTGTTATAAAGGTAATATTTTTAACCGCATTATACAGAATTACTGGCTATATTTTGATTGTATATTTATTAAACACTTGGATTGTTGTAAACTTCTGTAATTTTGTTTGATTGATTTTGTTTATGGATCAATCACTGTTGTATTTCTTGTCTTCTCCATGTTTTCACTTAATGAGTGACCTGAGTTTTCCTTCATCTATCAAGTAGTTATGCGACCATTGCAATTTTCTACATTTGTTGATGTGTAGTAACGAAACTGCTCTATTGTACCATGTGGGCTTGAGACACAAGAAACCATCATACAACAGGACAAACATATTTTAACTGACGTCATCTTTTTATTAAGCACTGGGTTGGAAGGAGCTCAATCCCCGTTAGGCCTTACGATCTCGATTGTTGTTTGTTGGTCTCTATGTCGGTCCTACAATCATAGAGGAAACTAGGAAATTATGACGATGCACAACACAGATGCTTCATTAATAACGTCCGGAGTCAGTTAAAAAACTATTCTTTTTGAAGATATGACAACACTAACCTCAAAACCATTGGTTTGTCTGTAAAAATGGGTGGTGACGCCTTAAACAGTTTTGCGAATTCTTTTGCGTAGTATGTATTCTTCTTTTTTGTTGTCGTTAATGGTATGATTTAAAATGAGTTAGCATAAGCAGCAGTGACATGGGCCTGAATTACATGTTAAATGTGACGCTACCTTTTCAATAAACACAGAGCCATGCGTCACTTTGACCTCACATTGTTTGACTTTAGGTGTTTTGTTTCTGAATCAATCCAGAAATACTAACCACTACAATAAAACACATTGCTTACAGAAATCAATATTAATGTGGAGTTAACCTCGTATACAGCTTACAGATTGATCTGCATAAACCTTGCATAGACACGCCTAACCTTGCGTAAGTGTTAACCAAAAAGAAAGTAAACCTTGATATTATACTTCAAAAGATCATTCTTCATTATAACCACTTACTTTCAGATGATCCTTTCCGCTATATACTGGAACAGTCAATTGTTAACAACTTTCTGATTTCAAGGAGCATCCACATTTTTCTCCAACTAATAAAGAAAATCATTTCAAACAATCTCCAGAGTTTCTGAAAGCGAAATGATTATCCGGAGACCAAGAATGGTAATTTTTGTTTACTTTCTCAGCTGTTAATTTATTACCCGTATTCTCGCACTTGTGTTCAGGCTTGAGTTTTTCCTTTCTCTACTAGTGCTGTTCACTTGAAGTGTGTCGGGTTAATCTATTATTAGGTTATATCAACTGTGATTACTAAAATTATAGGTGGAAGACTTGAATTATAACTATTTTATTCAAATTATTTACTTTATATTTTAAAAAAATAGATGATAGTTTTTGATCAGAGAAAGTTACATCTTTCAGTCGTCAAATTAGTTCTTATATATGATATGGTCACTACAAAGTTGTGACGAGGGTTTACTTCGAGGAACAAGTTGAGTTTTCAATATAAGTGAACCAGGACTATATAATGATTTACTGACAAGCTATAAGTACGTTTCTAACCAGCGCGATGTTTATTATAGGTTTTCTATTGTCATTTCATCGAAGAGTCAAAGGCACTAATAAGACCTGTTAAAAATGTCCGTCAGTCTCTATTGTTAATCAAATGTTCCAAACATAATGTCACTATCTCTTAACTTGCTAAAAAGTGTTTCACTTATTTCACAAAGCTGTCTACTCATCAATTTACTCTAGGTCTTCGAAAAGCAATCTCTTATCATATGAAATGAAAGTATTTATTTTGTTAGATTCCTATTGCTGAAAATATTATAATTATCTTTGTTTCGAATTCGATTTTACATCTGTATGTCAAATTTCAAGAGTATAGCTTTCCTGCTGAATATTTTCTGAAATAAGCATAAATAGGTGGCATCTAACAGACTTAAAGCAAAACAGTTAATAATAGAACATTGATGAAATAAAGCTATAAGTCATCAGGTAAAGCTTTCCTGCCATCCAAAAGTATGAAAAATGAAACGAAAATCTAGGAAATGTATGTTAGACTTTTATTATAAGGTATTTGTTTGGTTCATCACGCAGACATGTAGATGACGATTTCCAAATATCCTATAATCTTTTAGCCTATAAGTGTGAATCAGTGACTGTATTTCAACGGTTTTCAACTGAGGGAAAAACGATAATGCTTGTAGGTCACAGGTAAACGATTTTCAGGAAATGTTTCAGTGTGAACAATTAAGAGGCTTCATTTTAGAATAAGATAACTGTAAGGTGTTCTTATGATTGTCTAGTCTCAGTTAATGCATAGTGTAAACTATGAAATTTCAAGTAGTCTGACTAATAATTATGTGATCTTACTAAGAGTGAAGTTAACGTTGTTTCGTCCTTAAACATATTAGTTTAAGAGAAGAAATGGAATTATTCTTACCTATAAATGTTGCGAGTATTGAAATGTATGAATAAATTCCCTGTTTGTTGGCAGACATGAACCTTTAAAAAAAACTTAGAATATATTTGTACTAACCAACAGTTGGCTGCTGATTTCTACACATTACAGTTCGTGACGAATGTTTCCGTTACTAAAAAATATGATCTATCACTAGACAAAACGCGAAGGGAATTCAGTTCTTATTCTTAGACTATCTAATGTGGTATGGCTACAGCCAGGGATAAAAAATTCTCCAAAGTATATATATAACAGCTTCAGAGAGATCGTGATCATTAATGGGCATATAACCTGATCTTTTAAATTTATGATGATTGTGTCTAGTAGCAGAAGACTAAGCAAAGAATACCTTGACTAGCGGTAAATAATTGACAACAGGGTGTTAGTAACCATGAATCAATTTATTTGGGTAGAACAACTTTGTTTAGTGACTACATCACACAAATATTTGGGATATTGGCATAGTAATGATAATATGACTCATATTTTCTATATTTTACTGAATCACAGCTTATTTATCAATTCGGAAATTGGTTTTAAATTTGTTCAATGAACTTAGACTTTGTTATTTGATTAAAGCAAACTTAGTGTGAATACTACATTATTTTAAACGTGACCGTATCAGGACTGTATAAAACTGTATGGACAAAGTGAGTGTCTGGTTAGTTAATTCTACGTCATATAAGTCATCGGTACACAATCGTCAGAAGTGAATGAGTGTTTCTTATCTAAACGATTCAACGAAACGCTAATCGGTGACTGAGTTTCCATGGAGGTATATTCCATGTATTTATTTTGTTATGTTATTAGTGTGCAGAAAACATAAACCTCTAGAAATAGTTGTTTAAAATCCCTCAGTGATTTAGATTTACACTCTATTTTATTTGTCGATCACAAATTATTGACAAATAAATTTTCATTTATCAACCAAAATGATATTAGAAATCTTGGATGAAGAAATCATCTCATTATCCAGTAAGCATTTTTATTCAAAATGATCTTTTATTCAACCAATTTCTTCATGTTTTGAATTTTTCCTTACTTCAGATTAAATTTCAAAGATCTATACCTTTGTATATAATACTCCTTTTATTTGCAATTGCTTTATCTTACTATATTTTAATTGGAGTTTACACTGTAATTGAACGTGATATGAATAGTACTAAGAAAACATCACAACAAATTGTATTTATTGGAGGTTATCCAAGAAGTGGTAAGTATACAACTTGGTTTTCCTTTTTCATAAACGCTAATAATAAAACTAATAGTAAAGCTATCAGTTATCGTTGTGAGGCACTTTGTATCGAGAAATTTACTTCAGTATGTGCAACAAATGGTAATATGATACTTAATATGTGAAAACTGGGCGTTGATTATGATAGGCGCATGTGTAAGAGGTTTTGCTAAACACATTTAATGCCCTGAAACACAGAAATTCATTTGCTGAAATTTTATATTTAAGGAATTATAATACAATGCATAGATTTAGTCCCATTTTTTATAAGATGGTACTTAGTATTTCAGAGAAAATATTCTTTTGGTTTCATACATATCTCCGTGTTGCTTGGAAATTTCTAATCGTTTATTGACATGCCAATGTTATGTGACATAACAGTGATCTTTCATTTTGAATTTCACTGCATAGATTAGTTGTTGAATAACGTTTTCTTAGTGTACAAGAATAAAAAGTAACGATAATTTACTTAGTATATTTCCTTTAGAATGTTAGATTCATGTATTTGACGAGAAACTGTTATTTGCAATAAAGAAGAACATCTATAAGCTTACACTTATTTAGATCCATCTATAACTTTTTCCACCTGGAACGAATTTAATAACTGTTCGAATTCGGAAACTTTTATCTTAGTTGATATTTTGATACATTACTGGGAAATCCGAAAGTTTCCTTTATAAATTTCACCTTATTAACAATATGTTTAAAAGTAAAGTTAAATGAAGTCCTCGTCAGAAACACAAGTGATAGGTTCTTCTCTCATAATATATATAAATTATTTTAATACCAGTGGGACTGACTTTATGAAGTAGAAGACAAAACAATCATTATTGTTATTCACAAATATACGGGAATTCAATTATAATGGAAAGTGTAATCGACTAACGGTGAGTGGAGTTACAGGTAATCTATTAGGCCCTATATTGGCTGATATTTGTATAGGACATCCACAAAATGCCAGACTCAAACATGCAATAAAGTAACATCAATATAAGTTGATGGAACTATCACTGTTTATAATAACAAAGACCTTTCTAATCAGTTACTTAAGTGTTTTAATTTGCTTCACCTGAATTCAAAATCCACATCCGATCACTAAATTAAAAGTCAGATGAGTTTTTTAGACAAAATGAGCAAAAAACGAAGATGTCTGAGGTTCATCCTTCATATATGTAAGGCTTCCTGGAAGGGATGATACTCATATTTCTATAGACTTTTTACCTTAATATAAAACAAATCTCTTCAGAATGTTGTATGTGGGGGTAGACAGGTTTTTTATTTAAAAAGTTCACTAGATGGTGAAGTGTAGATTATTTAAAGAATGTCAGTCATGAATAGATATTATATGGATTTTAAATGTAAACATTTCAAGTCAACAAATGGGATAACAAAACAAGACATGGACCCTAAAAATAATAAGTTTGACAAACTTCCCTTCAACATTGCTCTGATTTTTCCCGCTGTCAATTTTATGGTTACATATGAAACAAAAAGCCTACTCATGAATAAACTTGGATAATATACAACCTCTAGTTACTTTCAGATGTACTTAATTATTTACATTATTCGCAAATTGTTTAAAATTTAGTTCCATTTATTTCACATATGACGTCTACAAACATCCATCACCTTTCTCACGAACTTGTATTTATTCACAATAATGACTTCACTGTACCCTGAAATTCTGTTTTTATTGATAATTTATGGTTGTCATAACTAGTGTTGACATTTCAACGTTATTCAAATGTTCAATCTCCACAGCAATATAATCATTCAAGTAATTAGGTTCACCTATACTATGTTCAAATAGTATTATTATCACTACTATTATGATTGCCTCATTATTTCTTTGGCAATTACTATCAATTTTATTATTTTATCCAGTATGTACGTATCTTCTGTACTCAATGACTTCATATTCTCTCTATTACTGTTATTCTGTTCATCTACGAATATAGACAATAATTGTACCTTTCTTCCCTTGCGAACTAAATGACTTTATAATTGTTATGAACGAAATGAGGTCTGTAAAAGAATTTCATTTATTTATAAAAGTCATTGCTTATGTTGATCATTTCATTTCATCTCTGAATAGTTGTTGTTTGAGATTAACAGAAATCATTTATTCGTTGACTTAGGTCAAGTAATTTTTGATTGCATAATAGTGTCTCCGGAGACCGTATCATGGGAACAAATTAGCAGACAATTCGTATAATCTGACAGTTGTTAATTTTTATGTAAAGAATGCGTACGTTGCCTACAAGTCTTTTTTCATGCCCATAAGCTTTTCTATTTCCTTCATTTAACATTTAATTATGGAAGGTGACATTCAGCTACTATATTTTATGAATTGTTGATTCATTCCCACTTAATTAATTTTATATTTATGTATATGTGGTCATATATATGGTGGGAAGAGTGATTATGACTTAAAATTATTAGAATTAGAGATGTACCGAAAATATTACAAAATTAAATATATTCCAGTTACCCAACAAGAACAAATGAGAAACACTTATTCTTCTCCACTTTGATCAACCAAACACTTAAAGTGCGAATACTTCAGTTTATTGAAGGCATAGCTGTACAAATGTTTGAATCTTTATTGTGTGTTCATAAACAATCGGTACATACATGACACCCACTGGAGATTAGTATGATATATACTGTTATTTTCATGTTTCACTTATATCTACTTTAACCTTCATTTTTTATGAGGATACATTAAAAAATATTAATATGTGATCAGGTTCATTAAAATACGTTGTACCAATATATCACATAGTTCTGATAAACTCCTACTTCTCAATCCACTATCTGCATTCATATTCATTATCAAAGTTTGTATAAAATGAGTAATATGATTACTCAGTAGTTATATTATTTAAAAGTATTTTATTCTCTTCATACAGGCACTACTCTTATGCGTGTCTTGCTAGATGTACATCCAATGATTCGATGCGGTCCTGAAACTAGAGTAATACCCAAAATCCTCAACTTACGAGGTCAGTGGGGTAGAGGAAAAGAAAGTGAACGACTTACAGCTGCTGGTCTATATCCCGTTGCAGTCGATTCTGCTGTACGATCATTTATATTATCTTTAATCCAAAATGCTGGAGAAAATGCACTTGTTCTGTGTAATAAAGATCCACTATCATTTATTTACCTTGAATATTTGGCGGAAATATTTCCTGAGGCAAAATTCATCCACATGGTACGTGATGGGCGTGCTGTGATTAATTCACTAGTAAAGTAAGATATCAGTATTCATACCAGTCACTTTCAAAATAACTACATATATCTTACGTCGTTTAACTCACCTGAAATAGTGAGCTCACTTTAGTCAAAATATTATTTTAATTTAGATCGGTCGTATAAAACATTTGAATTTTATTAACAAGTTAGTATAGATTAGATGGAATGTGACTAGCAGTGGAATTTGAGACTTGCTTTCCGTGTTAGTTGGGGCTCGTCATCTGGAAATACCTACCACTTTAATTTTAAATAAGCATGTCGATTGTAAATATTATACATATTGATCATGGCTCTGTGATTTTACTTCCTGATAATAGATATTTTAGAACTGATGTGTGGGAAAAAAGTAAATCATAGTGATAACATTGTATTGAAAGGGAACACAGGCGAAGACAACCAAATTATATTCATTACAACATTTTAGAGTTACTTGGTAAAATAGAAAAACCATACTATAATTCCCAATTTGCAAAATGTTCAATAGTTGTCTCAGACTTTATTGTTCTTGCATTTCCATACCAAATGCTTTCTATTCCTATCCTTTCTTTCTTGATCTTCCCAATCTTCCGCTGTCAGACATTACATTCCTGACTCGCGTTATATACTACTTATGTCAATATAAGTAGCACGCACCACAACATCGGAATTGGAATTTTCAAAAAGCTCTACATGGAAGAAACAAACTGCATACAGTTGTTTGGGTTACATTGTGTATAGATTAAATTATAGTCAATTCCCCAGAAATGATCTGTGGTGACTACCAGTTAAATAATAAGTGAAAATAAAAATGTAAGTGCATTTAGCACTTTATTTGTCTGGAAAGTTTCTTAGTAGAAAATATTGATCTACGATAAAATTAATGTGGATATAAAACAGTTTTATAAGGCATTTATCAATCTCTTCTCCTCTAACACTGGCCAGATTTATAATATTTATCATAATGCAATTACACTAAAAAAAGTGTTTCCACTGCTCTTCCTTGACTGTGAGACACATAGATTGTTTTCATATGCAATTCAACTTACAATTTAACTAATAAATTCTTTAAAACCATTGAATTCTTCGTAAAACAACCAAAATACTACAGTTTCATGTCTTTATCAGACAATCAAAGACCATAGCATACTGTAAATATGATTACTGAACTTTGTATTAAATATAAATACATCAGTTTTATCTATATTTCTTTCTTTCATTCATTCAAGATTGACAATAAAATAAAATGTAGAATGGATTAGTTGATAAGTGACTTTTCTAGTTAAACATGCTTCATTTCGGTAATAATATATGGTTGTTTTCTTTTCCATTATTAGTTGAAACACAATATTGTCATACAACCAAACAGTAGCTATTATAACAAGCTTTGTATATTGAAAACTGACTAAGCAGTCATGTAAAAAGAGATTTATAATTCATAAAATACATTATTTTAATTCAGAATGTTTTGACTTTATAAACCTTGAATTTAGACTGTCCAATTTTTTTTGGAAAAAAAAGATTATTTTGATTAGACTTAATATTAGCGTGAATAAACATGTATAAATAATGAAATACTTTACATAGTAGTTATTAGTTTAACTGTTATAATGATAAAATAGATTGACAGAACAATTGGAATCACAATTAATTGATCACTGGGTGGCGATCAATGTCATGCGTGTCTAGTCCTTATTAGTGCAGATCGAATGCTATCGACCATGTTGCAGTGTGGCCACAAGCCTAGGTGACTTGACACTGCGTGCACTATTGTGAGATTAGATGGTGGTTGGAGGTAGTCGACACGAAACCCTGGACCTGGATTTCTTGCTACTTGGCACTCGTCAGCAAGGTGTACCTGTAATCTTACAGGAGGTCGGTCGCGGCTCGGATAGCTCAGTGGTAACGTTTCTGACTGTGAAGCTGGGTGACACGAGATCGAATCCGCCAGGGAGCACCAGTTCCCTCAAGATTACAGGTACACCTTGCTGACGAGTGTCAAGTAGCACGAAACCTGGGTCCAGGGTTTCCTGTCGACTACCTTCAACCACCATCTAAAGAATAATTGGAATATTCTGAGGCTGTTCCATTCATTTCAATAGTTAAAACAATTACACATCAAAATAGTAAGTGACTAAACAAGAGACAAATTATTCAGGTCACAAAATCAATGACCTTTTGTTATCTCAATAACTGTATGGTTCTAGATAAATGTAATTTTAAAATAACATTATCAACTACTCATATTAATTCTAATTATGTTAGAATTGATATTAATAATCTTGAGAACATACCCAGTCACTGGTAGTTTATTGAACTATTGTTCATATTAAGTAGTCTACTGTAGTTAAAGAATGTTTCAAGAGACCATTCATTTAACAATCATTTAAGATAATGTTTAGTAGAAGAAAAGTAACACTTTGATTATTCTGAATGACAATAATACCAAATGCTACTGTTCTACTTACATTCTGCTTTCTTTTTTATGTTAGAAATTTGGTAGAATTATATTATTCATCTTAAAATTTTATTTGCATGTTACTATGCCATTTTGTTTCTCTATAAATATGATTATAATAACCAATCATAAATTCTACAATCGTCTGACGTCATTGTTATGAATAATAAATAATTATCCAATAATCATTATACATAATTCATTATCAGGTAATGACTACTGTAATAAACAATAAACGGAAGTTTTTTCAAACTATGTAAATAACATTTAATATAAGTTTACTTTATTTATACATTAGTTTTGATAAAAATCAAATTATGAATCAAATGTAAATGAATAGATTGAATTTTAAATGAAGTCAATCGTCTAATTGAAATCTACTTATTGTACAAGATATTCATATGTTTTAATGAAGATAAAACTCTAAGTAATAAGTTTCGTATTCAACTTGAAAACTGAACAATAAATACTGTCATAAAGATTGAGATAAAATAAGAAATATGATATTGTTGTGTAAAAACTGCTGAGGAGTCTCACAATAGAAAGAAACAACCGTCCAGTGCTTCAAGGTTTTCCATGGTGGTCTAGCTTCAAATGACTCATGATCTCAACTATTGAGATTAAAAATGATTTGTCTAATATATGCTAATGCATAAATCAATTATACATATAGTTCATTTATAGTGTTAAATGAATTATATACTTTGTATATTTAATCATGGGACGAACTTCAAACAGGTACGTTAACAAAAAGTTATTTTTCTAGTAATTACCTGAGTATTTTGAAATTAAATTTACAAAAAAAACATTACTAGAATGGGAGTTCGTGGAGATTGCAATAATTTTTAATAGATGGATTCTATGCTATACAACCATTACAACCATTGAAAACCTGAAAGAACTGGACGACTATTTCGTCCTAGTATAGAAATATTCAGTAGTGCACATCCACAATCTCTCTTCAAAAGGACTTTAATGCACGACGTTAGGTCTCACGCGTAAACGCTTAACCTCTAGACCACTGAACTGACCGGTATTCAACGGTGTTATTGTCTAACTTCATCCAATTTACGAAATTGAGTGACTATCTTCTATTATCTGAGGTAGATACTTGTCTCTACCCGACACGGATTGGACTTCTCTGGTCAAGTTTTTAATAGTGTTCTAGCTTAATTCGACCTATGAATTCATCTACTAAAAAAACATTGTTTAAAATGAGTTACAAATGAATGTCTACAGCAACATTCATAGAGCACAGTTGTGAAACTATACAAGCAGCATTATTTATGTTCAATTATATAAGATCTCTTACATAAAGAACAATTCGTTTATCATTTTTTCCCCTCATATTATTTCAAACAGTATTCGTAAGTTTATTGAAAATTTTATGATAAACCAAAGTATCTAAACGTTACATTATTAATTATTATTTAAATGTATTTTTTCTGGTCAAAGAAACAAACTGTTATTTAGTTGTTACCCATTTATTTTAAATATATACATATATGGGTAAATATATATATTGAGTCACCACCGTTTTTCCCTTTTATAAATTTAATAATATTCTAAACTCATTTGTCTACAGTTATTGTTTATATCGATCAACAAGTTGATTTATGATTTTCTTTCATAAAATAAAAAAAAGTTTTGTCATAATTTTACATAGAAATTACAATTAGTTTCATGACGTTGTTGTTGACAAGATCCCCCCTCCAAATAAAACAAAACCAAATCATATAACTGTCTTTATATGAATCAAAGTCAGTAATAACATTGAGTGTCAAATTTTAACATAATGTCAATAATGCTATTTCCAACGTTTAACTATTAATTAGATGATCTAATTGAAAACAATTGTTCGCTTATATATGTTGTTCTAATTTTCACAATGGGAATCTTTAATACTGTTATCTACTTAAATATTAGCTTTAATGACTGTCAAAATTTCTTCACAGTGTAACGTGATAAAAAAAAGACAATCTCATGTAATGTATTTCCGAAAAGTTCTTGATGATAAGCTATAACATGTTACATTAATGATATCAGAAGTAAAATAGTAAATAAACGATAGCATTCAATAAATATCATAATATATCGAAATTTTAACTACAAAGGTTTTGACTTAAAGGTTTATATTTATCATGTTCAACTAAAAGTCCTAAAATGATATAACTATAATGATACAGTTATTCTTCATGTTTTACCAATATCTTGATTTAATAATTCTATGATTTTTGGTTGAAATCATGAATCGACCGATGTTAGGCCACCATTGAAAAGCTAGAAGTGGTAGACGGTCGTTTCGTGCTAGTATGGAACTAATCAGCAGTGCGCATCCACGATTCCGAAGCAAAGGAACTCGTATCCATGAATTTAGGTGTCACACACGAACGCTTAACCTCTAAACCACTGGACTGACCGGCATTCAACGGTGTTGATGTCTAACTTCAACCAATCCACGAAGCTGCATGGCCATCTTCCACTGTTTGAGGTAGATACCTGTCTCTGCCTGACAAGGATTAACTCCTAACATCGGTCGATTTATGATCTCAATCAAAAACTT